TGAAAAAGAGGATTTTAAACTATTTATAAAGACAACATTAACATCTTTATGCGAAAAGAAAAGTCTCATATTTTAAATCAAAGAATAATTAAAGTAAGAAAAATCAAACAAGTTCACTATTTGTTTAGTTTAGATCTATCAAATTAAATAATTATTACAAAAATGTTGAAATAAAGATTAATTAGTTTCCAAATCAATAGTGGAGATTATTGTTGATTATGTAGATTTGTGCAAGAAATAGAAATATAAAAGAAAAAACTGCATGATACTTTTGATTGGCGATATTGAGCATCTTTTTAAATTTTGACATGCTTTGTGCATCTTTTCAGTTTAAACTAATTATGTCTCTTTTCATTTTTAACGAATATTGAGCATCTTTAAAACTTGTGGCACATTTTGTGCATCTTTTCAAACTTGACACACTTTGTGCATCATTTTATATTTTTTATCTTTCCAATATCCATACATCTTAAAACAAAATCTAATAATTAATAAAAATAAATATATTGAATAATAAATTAAAAAAATCAGAGATCTCTTTTGCAATAATTATAGTTAAATAATATTTGTCTATAGGAACATGAAAATGATCTTATAATCTACATCTAATCATATTTAATTAAAATTTTTGAGAAATTAAATTTTACAAGAAAATTAATTTGTAGAGCAAATTATTTTAAAATTTAATTTCATAGATTAACTATATTTGATTAGTCTATAAAAACTTAAAATAATTCAAGAAAATTAAATTCAAAATAAGACAAAAATATCTTTCTATTTTTTAACACAAACTCAAGATATAAATGCAAATACAGCTAAGACAATAATTTAAACATCCAAAAGCCATTACATGAAAACTAAAAAATCAAAAACATACATAAACTACAATAGAAAATGAAAACTAATATGTTGGAGGATCTTGATTTGGAGGTGGTTGAGGAGGGGTGAACATCATAAAGAAGCTATTGATGGTAATTACTTGAGTGTTGACTAAGTCAAACTTCCCTCTGATCCAGTCAATATTCCAATCATTCAAGGTCTTAGTCAATTCCATTTAGAGATTCATACGTTGCAACATTTAAAAATAATAAGAATTTTTTTTTTCTTTAAGGGACGTATCCTTATAAAATTATGAAAAAAATAAGAAGGAAAATGGGAACTCAACAATTCCTCAGCTCATCGATGTCCAACACATTAATGTTTTAAAACATCTTTTGGAATGTGTGACTTTGAAGGAGAAGAAGGGTGACTTTTGCAAGTGAATGTCAAAATCTCCTACACCCTTGTCTTTTTGGATACCTGTGGACCATTCTTATTCCCCGATCGCTTAAGAGGTACCTTTGAAGTGTGAACAACTACCTCAAGGACTTTAGCTGACTTATTTAGCGTATGTGTACGAGATCTCTCTACCTAAGTAAATAGTCCCACATTGAATAAATATTATTCATCTACATATACTATTCATCTACATATATGCTCAAATAGCAAACCTCATAGTGAAGGGTGTCGACATCATGAAGGTTGAGCATCTTTAGTAGATCTTCTACTCCAATAAAAAGGGGGATGGGTAACTACTTCAGCTTCCCCCATCTCTCCAATATATTCCAATCATTCTACATAAAAACGAAACCACTAACCCAGCTCTTTGACGAGTCTCGAGTGTGAATATCCAGTCACTTGGATCTGAAAGAGATATGACCCTGCATATCACAATAAAGTCTACCCATCTGGGAAAAGTACTCTAGAGAAAACACCACCCCGCGATATATAAAAAATACAATCAATCCAATTATAATCAACATGGCTCTGTAAGAAAGTTGCGACAAAATCACTTTACATGTCACTGAAATGTTAATCAACTCCAGAGGAGGTGAAAATCATAGCCCTGCTCGTAAACTGAACTCATACACCATCAAAAATCCTAGAGGAGGAGAACAGTCACGATCTGACTTTTCAAACACCTTCATGAGTCCATGATCATCGAATTATGATATCATTAAGACATTCAAATGTCTAGTAAACGATCCATGATCAAGGGATTCAACATCGGTCGCCCATTCAAACCTCTCCTAATTTACCCTTGTCTTCCTACTATTTAATGGTCATGTCACTCATAAAAATTATAAATAGACCTATCATTTAAGAGAACAAAGAGAATGAATAAGAGAAACTTGAGTTCTCATGCCACTAGACTCCTTGACCACCATTGGACTTCCACCCAGCAGCCAAACGCCGTCGGACTTTTGCCCAGCCGCCGATTGAAGTCGGACTTATGCCCGACTGTCGACTAACATTAGACTTCTGCTAGATCGTTAATTGAAGTCGGATTTCTACCAAACCACTTAATGTCGCCGAATTTTTTATCTCCTCTCGTAACTGGATTTTAACCCGACAGTTGATTATTGTAATCTGATTGTTCTCAATTTTTAGGGATGAGCTAGCCACTTATAATTTAATCAAATATTAGTAGAATTATTTCAACTGGACGTGGCCCCCATGGTTTTTCCATTTTTCAAGATTTTCTACGTAAAAATTCTAGTGTTTCATTTTACTTCTGTTTGTGTGCTAGATATTCGTATAACGTTGAGACGAAAATTTCTAACTCTATTGTTGCGTATATTCTAGCCCACAATAAAGATAATAAATTCTTGTATAAATATTTTATTATGCATAATAAAACATAATCAATTTTTTCTAGTAACTTCCACCAAATTATAATTAATTTTGTGAGCAGGTTAAATAATTAAAAAATAAATAAAGTTAGATTTGCTTTCCATGAGAAAGCAACCAATGCCATTTTTTCTGGCCAAGCCAAATTGGATCGGCAACTGGCCAAGCAGCCAGTTTGGCTGTCAAATTACGTCCGAGACTGATTTTTGGGCTCGGACAGTCCAAATTGGACATTTCTTAGGTTCCTAGTACCATTGTTTGACATTCTATATCAAATTTTAGCACTTTCAAAGCTCAACGGAGCTTCTATGATCAAATTTAAGAAATTTTAAAAAATTTTAACATTATTTTCTGATATTTTTTTAGATTCGATTAATTTAAAATGTTGTGATACGTATTTTCGAACTTGTGGATCTTCGACATCTGAAAATTGGGGGAAACTGATATATCATCAAAAAATTATCTTGATTAGGCACGAATCTTGAAGCAAAATCCAGTTGGAAACTTCAAAAATTAAATTTGAGACCATCTAAACTTTGATTTCAGCTAACTTACAGTCAAATTGAACGTCTCGGAAATATAAACCCAAAGACACCAAATTCAACTCAATTCGAGTCCAAATGAGTCCAAATTAAGGACCTAAAGCATATTTTGAAGGTTCAAACCATAATTTTTTATCAGCAAATGGTTTCCCAACGTGGAATGCTTATATTTGAATCAAGATGCTCGGTCAAACAAATCCAACGAGTTAATGATCATCGAATTCTAATATCATTAAGATATTCAAATATCTAATAAATGATCCACAATCAAGGGATTCAACATCGACCGTCCATTCAAACTACTTCTAATTTACCCTTGATCTTCCTCCTCTTTACTCGTCATGTCACTCTCATAAAACTATAAATATACTGCTCATTTCTCATGAAAGGGGACACAGACAAGGACGAGAAGGAAGAAGAGAAACTTGAGTTCTTCTGCCACTAGACTCCTCCTCGACCACCGTTGAACTTCTACCCGGCAGCCAACCGACATCAGACTTTTGCCCAACCACTGACTGACCTCGGACTTCTGCCTAACTGCCAACTAACGCCGGACTTCCATCAAACTGTCAATTAAAGCCAGATTTCCAATCTCCGCTCGTAACTGGATATTAACCTAATAGTTGATTATTATAATCTAATCATCCTTAATTTTTAGGGACGTGTCAATCACTTGTAATATAATCAAACATTAGTTGAATCATTTCAACTAGGCGTGATCCAATATTTTTTTTTCTTTTCCAAGATTCTCCACGTAAAGATTCCGGTGTTTCATTTTTCTTCTGTTTGTGTGATGGATAACCGTACAAAGTTGATTCGAAAATTCCTCGCTCCATCGTCGCGTAAATTCTAGCCAGCACAAAGATAATAATTTATTCTATAAATATTTTATTGTGCATAATAAAACATAATCAATTTTCTCTCGCAACCTCCACCAAATTATAATTAATTTTGTGCGCAGGTTAAAAATTAAAAATAAATAAATTTAGATTTGGTTTCCAAGAGAAAGCAACCATTACCATTTTATCTGGCCAAGCCAAATTGGTTCGCCAACCCTAACTGAGCAAAATTTCTTCACTACTCCAAGTTCCATGTCCATCCTGAATGTATAAAAAAGAAAGACGGGCTTTAGCCCAATGACTCAGAAAGATCTAAACTTTCTCCTCCGCCGTCCGCCCCTTAAGAACTCGGGAGTTCGCTTGCTTGTTGACACACCCGGACGAATTGGAACCGCGTAGAACTACAGTCAAATAATCTACGGCCAAGTGTGGTGTCGGTGACATGTCAGCTCTACAGTAGAGCCATTTGTAAGTGATTGGCTCCAGTGAGTGAGAGGAGTTGGTCGAGCACAGAACAATTTTTCTTGAGAGAAAATGGAAAAAATTTTATAGGAGGAGCTTAAGATATAGTGCAGTAAATCTAAAATCTTGTAAAAGGAAACTGGAAATTGACAGTAGATGAATGCAGCGAGCAGTCCCCTCCTCTGTTAGATTCAAAGGATAAAACAAAAGTCTTAGCCAATCACTCCAAATCTATGCTCTGTCCTCTCACAGTTTCACTGCTACTTTACTCACGTTTTCTTCTCCAATCCCAAGCCCTATTTCCCAATTCAGTTCACCAGCTATCATCCATGGTTTTCATTATCTCTTTCACTCTCTGAGATACCACAGAGTCCTAAAACCACTCTTTAATCTTCTTGCTAGCCAGGATGAGAAACAGGCCGGACAGCGATTTTTCCAGTTGGAAAAAAGAGAAACAGTAGTAATAAGTCTCAGGAGTTTGGCATCTTCTCTCTCTCTCTCTCTCTCTTTTTCACAAAAGCCAACTCCACTTACATCACTTGCCCTCCAACCCAAATCCCTTTCTTGCTCCAACACAAAACCCTAAAATCCCACCTTTCCCCTTATTCTTCTATATTCCTTCTCTTTCGATGGATCCCCACGGTTCTTCCGAGCTCCAACATGAGCCCCCCAAGTTTCTCCAGAGCCAAGAAAAGGCGGAGACACAGAGGGAGCTACAGATGGTGATTTCCACCTCTGAGAGGGAATTCCCTCTTGTAGCTACCGCGGAGAAAGACGATCAAAGGAAGCAGCTTGCTCCAAAGAGAAGCTCAAACAAGGATCGACACACCAAAGTCGACGGCCGCGGCCGGAGAATCCGTATGCCGGCCCTCTGCGCCGCCCGAATCTTCCAGCTCACGCGGGAACTTGGTCACAAATCCGACGGCGAGACCATCCAGTGGCTTCTTCAGCAAGCTGAGCCTTCCATCATCGCTGCAACGGGCTCAGGGACCATCCCGGCCTCGGCCCTAGCTGCCGCCGCACCTTCTTCTATCTCCCACGCTTCCACTGCAGCCGCCGGACTCCACCCCATGCTTAATGACCCACCGCCCTCTACCTCTGCTGCAGCTTCAAGGCCCAATTGGGCTGCCAGCCTATGGCCGCCGCCTGTTCCTGGATTTGGTAGTCAAGGATTCCTCCCGACCTCCAATCTTGGTGGAAGCAGTGAAGGGCCTGCCGGTGGAGGGTTTATGCAGAGAATTGGCTTACCGGGGTTAGAGCTTCCGGGGGCTAATCTGGGCCAAATGAGCTTTGCTTCATTGCTCAGTGGGCATGGACAGCAGATCCCCGGGCTTGAGCTAGGGCTCTCCCAAGATGGACACATTGGGGTTTTGAACCCTCATGCTTTGGGCCAGTTTTATCTGCAGATGGGACAAGGAAGAGGGGGTGGAAGTGATGAGCAATTACAGCATCAACATCAACATCATCATCAGCAGCAGCAGCAGAGTCATGGTTCTCTGAACAAGGATGATTCTGATGGATCAACTCAGTAAATGAGAAATTCCATCAATTATCTATATTGGTTTTTCTCTGAATGTAATTTTGTCAAGATAATGGAGGAAGGAAGCTAGAGAATAATTTGTTGTTAATGATATGTGGTGATTGCTTCTACCTCTGTTCGATTTATGGGGATTATTCTCCTCATCCGGGTAAATTGCTTTCGTTCAATAATTCGATATGTGGTACATATGGCATGGAATAAGTGTGTTTACAATTGTTGTGTCACACTATTTTCTGTGCAGGTGTAGGTTGAATTTAGCTGAATGGCTTACAGTGGAGCTATATATATATAGTTTACTATTAAAGTTTGTAGATATTTAGCTTAGGCTTCCTTCAATGATTTATTTTGTTTTCAAGGTATTGATCTGTTAGAATTATCTTGTTCTATCTGAATTCTGAACAATAAATCATTGCATTTTATAATATTATATGTGAACTTCTTAGACTGATTTTGCATCTTATTTTTCGCTAGGGTTCACCGTTAATTGAAGTTGCAAAGACATTGTTTTCTCATTAAGGCTTCATTTGGGATGGCTTTTTTTTTTTTTTTTTTTTTCTTAAAGCAAAGACATTGTTTTCTCATTAAGGCTTCATTTGGGACAGTTTTTTTTTTTTTGCTTTTTAAAGTAGTTTTTTAGTTTAAAAAAAAAGATTTTTCTACTAAAAAACTGTTTTAGGAAGCAGTAAGAAAGCCGTCCCAAACGAAGCCTAAATCTTCTACTTTTAGAATTTTATCAATTCTAAGTTTTATCTGTATGATACATTATCAAAGAATGTTCAACTCAATTGCAAGTAGGGACCTCATCTTGTTATTACAATGGTCTATAGGTCCTAATAGTTCACTGATTCTTGTGAAGTCAAATGCGTTGGGAGTGTTCATTATGTTTCTTTATTTGCATTCTTGTATTCTTTGTAACTATGTGTTTAAGATAACTGGATTAAAAATTTTGAGGATTTCTTTTCAAGGAAATAATTTGTATGTCTCATCTTCCATTTTCTAGCATTTCTTGTTCTTTTCTCCCTTGTTTTGCTGTAAGAGCAACATCATTCACCATTTCCTTGTTTAATAACTGTAATTCCTAAGAACATCTGATTTTGTGGATAATCTTTGTTAGCGAATCCTTATAAGAATTACTGATCAGAACAAAAGAAATTAGAATTTACAGCGTGGGAATGTTTAGCAAGTTGTGTAATAGTCATCTGTGCAGCTTTCAGTTTAATGAGGAATACCAATGTTTAGCTACCAATTTTAACGTGTCATGAATCAGGAGGACATAGTAACGCAAAGAGAATTCAGCACATGGTCAAATTTATCAAATTTAAAAACGGTTATCTATAAAGCTTTCAATTTGATGTGAAACAAATGTCTAGTGACTTATTTTAGTTTGTCCGACGGGCTTGTTTGTTTTGAGGTAAGTGGTTGAATTGATTAGAACTGAGTTTTGGAACTCATTTTTGGTATTCTTTTTTACAGTGAAACCTACCTTAGGATTTGTTTGGGACAGCTTTCTTACTGCTTTCTAATACAAAAAATTTTAGTTCAAAAAAATTTTATATAAAAAAGTTGCTTAAAAAAATAGTATGAAAGTTGTTAAAAACAATGCCTTAGTTTATTGGTTGGAAGCCCTATAGACCTCGGGTTCGAGGCTATGTGATTTATGTGAGTCTGTGATTACATTCGCTCAAACTCCGAAAAAATGTTGGTTGCAGAAGTATTTAATGAAAGTATATATTAAAATTTCAACATCATATAAGACATAAGCTAGTTTTACTTATGAGGTCTTTTTGGAATCTGCTGATTACATAAAGTAATAGTATAATAACATAAATTCAGGAGGTTGAGCTAGAATAACAAGAACTGAGGTCTTGGCAGTCACTTTCATTTTGTATTTTCCATGAAGTAATAGTATAGTAGAAGTTGTGCTACAATGACAAGAACAGAGTGCATGCAAAAATTTTCTTTCAGCACTAGTTTCACCAAATTCCAAACGCTTACATTGAAATAAGATGGCTCTAAATGCAAATGTTATTGTGAACTTAACTAGAGCAACAAATTTATTTCGTAATTTTGAACTAGCTTGCATTAAAGTTCTTAAAGGTAAGATCATCCATGATGTTATTTGATGAAAAGTAGTTTTATTTCAGTTCATACAACCTTATAAAAATCAAAATCTTTTCAAATATATAACTCTCACCTTATATAAAGTAAGCGCATGACAAAAGGCCCATTGATGTGTAATGACTTGTGCTAAGGACTTGATATTTATATTCTTTGGAGAAAAGCTTTATCTTATGTTGAGTTGTGTGGCATTACTAGCATAGAATCATGATAGACCTTCTATTTAAATTGCATTTTAATTCTGCATGACTTGCCAACCTTTCAATTTAATTTCTCTATGTTCAACAACCTAACACTCATTTCTTTTTTGTTTCTGAAAATTTGCACCAACCTTATTTTAGATTAACAGAGATGTTAAAAAATGTGATAGAATGACAAGATTGCCTCTGACTGAAAGATGTAGCTATCACAGTGCAGAATTCCATGTAAGTTATTTTTTCGTAAGTTCTTCCTCCAATCCCATAGTGTTTCAATTTTCATTCATTACTAAATGACAGAATTTCAGTAATTTAATCAGCTATGGACTATTGGAATTAATTAATGAAAGAAGTATAATAATAGTAATCATCATTTGCATTATCTCAATTATTTTGATGGTGCTAGAGACTTCAATCATTTTAACAAGCTCCTTCCATTAAGTATAATGCTGATGATGTGTCAAAATTTAGTGATATCTCACAAAAACATCAGAACTGTATCAGAACTGTACCTTAAGAGGAAAATGGGGGACTAAGACTTCATTTGGGACTAGTTTTTTGTTGCTTCTTAAAACATTTTTTTAGTATAAAAATTTTACTTTTTTGTTACTTCTGAAAGCAGTTTTTTAGTATAAAAATTTTTATACTAAAAAATTGCTTTAAGAAGCAGTAAGAAAACCGTCCCAAACAAAACTTAAATCTAAGATGTTGAAACTTAAGATCTGAAAGAAAAGGATTATACAAACTTGCGATTAAAAATATAGTTGATCTTAGTAACTTTTTTCTGAAGGAGAATCAATAATATAAAGTTGCATCACTGGTGTAAAAAAGTTGTAATAACTAAAATGAAATGGTATAGATGCAATATTTACACACAAAATATAGCATTTTGCACAGTTCTTTTGAATAAGCATAGGAAATATTAGGCTGGTTATGTTACTTCTAGATAGAAGTTTGATCACATTAGTACAATTGAATAAAATGAAGTAATCAGAAATCGTTAGATCTTAAGATATCGGAGCAGGCCTGAAATAGGGTGTCCAGGTGGGGTTTGGTAATATTGAATCATATAAAATGCAAGATTCGAACTCAAGATCTCTTTAATGGTAGTCAAAACTCTCAACTAATAAATCAAAATGAGTTACGTGATTTGTTTTTTTAACTCCTAATGATGAAAAAGGTTGAAGGAAGCAGTAGAAAAGAATATCGAACAGCTTTGATCCATTGGTTAAAAGAGAACATTGAATTTTCAAGATCAAAGAGTTGTATACTTGACTGCAGAAAATTTTGGAAAGGGTGTGTACTTGGAGAGATTCATATAACTTCCCCTTGAACTATCCGACAGAGTTGCTGGAACCAAAGCAGGTAGCCGAGTTGAGTATAATAAGTGCTCATACTTTATGAGGTACGCTTAGAGGTACATTCACATATCCTATCATAGCTGTACTTGGGGAAAACCAACACATTTGTAAGGGATGAAATTATAATCCTCTTTCAATTTGAACAATTTGCAACTACTTTGTCTTGTTTATAAAGCTGTTTATGAAAATATATAAAAGATCTTATTAGAGAGATGAATCAATCTCAAAGGGCGAAAGAGAAAATTAGGTCTCATTGAGGTTTCGTTTGGGACGGTTTTCTTTCGGCTTCTTAAAGCAGTTTCCTAGTACAAAAATTAAAAATTGTACTATGAAGCTCCTTTAAGAAGAAATAAGAAAACTATCCGAAACGAAGCCTGAATCTCTCAGGGAATTAGTTTGCAAGGAACCCCTTGAAACTTTGAATATTAAAGAGTAAGCCAAGTCAAAAAATTAAAAAACAATTGTGAGGGTGAGAAAATTCTTGTAAGATTTCATATTATTTTGTCATGCTAACAGTCAACCTCTATAAGTGAGGAGAGAGATAGTATTTCATGATTGACTATATAGTTCAATTTTGTAAGAAATGAATAGATTGAACTTTTTATACCTAGTTATGCAACAAATGAGTTTCACCTAAACTTTACTTCTAGTTAGAAGAACTATGGTCAAGTTCTAATGAAAACCACCAATTCTTTATTTCGTTCTTTGGGTGATTTGATGATTGTTTTTATTGAATTTGTTTAATTGGAAACTTCATAAGTCCTTTCATTGAGGTACACTTAGAGGCTTTGGGCAACTTTAAAATATTTCAGTTTTGAGTTAGAAGTAGCTTATGTCAATTTTTAATCAAGTCTTGAAGGCACGCCAATTAAGGCTTCGTTTGGGACGGCTTTTTTATTGCTTTCTAAAATGGAGTTTTAGTACAAAAATAAAAAATTTTGTACTAAAACTCCGTTTTAGAAAGCAATAAAAAAGCCGTCCCAAACAAAGCCTAATTTTTTTATGATGCATATAAGGCTTCTTTTGGGACAGCTTTTTTACAGCTTTAAAAGCAACTTTATAAGAAATTTATATTAAAGAATTATTTGAGATAAAACTTCTCAAAATTAAAGAATTATTTGAGATAGTTTTATTCTGCTTTCACTTTTTTAGACTACAATTACGATTTCATTTTGTTACTATTTTTTTATTATTATTTTTAGAAATTTATGCACTGAAAAATAATTTTTTACAACAATTTAAAAAAATATTTTTTCTATAATCACTTTTACAAAAAGTTACAATCATCACAAACAGGCTTTAAGTTTATATATTATCAATATGAATACCACAATGAATCAAATGGACAAACACTTCATAATTTCTTTTTAAAGCACCTTAATTGAATTTTCATTTAGACAACTTTCTTATTATGGTTTGGTTTTTTTTTAGCTGTGTTATTTAGAATCTCCAATAACCCCTTAATTTATGTATTAAAATATACGAGGAAAGTTCTCAAAATATCTACCCAAATTTAGGCTCCAACGAATCGTAAATTCTTCTTTAAGCTAAAGCTTTTTGGTGATTTCTCAGTTATTTTGTTGAACTCTAAAAATGTGTCGATTAATTTAGTCAATGTTTTAGATTACTGTAGGATTTTTTCTCATCGCTCTAATTCGTTAGCAATTGTTTCATGAAGCTTTTTAAGTGGACTCCCCATTTTGATGTAAATGTGGAGTCTCTCTTCTTTAAGCTAAAGCTTTTTGA